GTGTGTGTGTGTGTGTGTGTGTGTGTGTGTGTGTGTGTGTGTGTGTGAGGGGTGATTGTGTGTGTGTGTGTGTTTGTGAGTGTGTGTGTGTATGTGTTTGTGTGTGTGTGTGTATGTGTGTGTGTGCGCGTGCACGCGTGTGTGAGAGTAGGAGAGTGAGAGTGTGTGTGTGTTTGTGTGTGTGTGCGCGTGCACGCGTGTGTGAGAGTAGGAGAGTGAGAGTGTGTGTGTGTTTGTGTGTGTGTGAGAGAGAGGGGGAGAGGGAGTGTGTGTGTCTGTGTAAGTGTGAGAGAGAGAGAGAGAGCAGGAGAGTGTGTGTGTTTGCATGTGTGTACGTATTCGTTTGTGTGTGTGTATAGTGCAGTGGGTTCGCCTGTAGTGCGACTTGAACCCAAGGTCCTGGTTGAGGCTGTCCTCATGGGGACCGAACATGGCTATCAGCCTCTGCTCAGTGACTCTGCATTTGTTGTGTATCCCAAAGTCCGCCTTGGAGAACATTTACCCCTCGTTCTTTTTAAATTGTTCTCTGTAGTAATGAGCCAAACAAACCAGCAAAGCTGCCCTGAATCCCTGAGATAAACTAGGGTACAATGAGTCATTTTAGTAATCCTAGGTGGAGAGCAGCTAAAATTGACCACTTACCTTCGTGGAAAAGTACATCTGCCCCATTTAGGCAAATAGCCAGAAGTCACTTACAATCCATATTGAAGTAGGATCAACAGAGTTAATATTGCAGGTTGATAATGTTTTGTGATACAAATACCTTCGAAGAGTAGTTGCTGTCGCAATTCGGGAAACACAATAACCAATTTACAGAGCAACAAGCTCCCACAAACAGCAATGTGACAATGACCAGATGACCTGCTTTTGAAACATTGGTTAAATATTGACCAGAAGAGAACTCCCCAGCTCTTCTTTGAAAAGATCCCATGGGATTGTGTCCACCTGAGAGACCAGAAGTATGATGTGGAAGACAGTGCCTCTGACAATACAGCCTTCCCGCAGTGCTGCACTCAGAGTGCCTGCCTGGATTATGTGCTCACATCTCTGGAGTGGGGCTAGGACTCACAGGTTCTGACTCCATGAGGGCACTGCCAACTGATCTGTGGCTGACAACAGCAAGTGCAACATTTTGCTTAACATGAAGTTGTTAGCACCTGCATTGTAGTGTGATATTTTAGAATGAAAAATAATTACACAAAACTGTTTCACAAGGCCCAGCAGCTGGGAGTTACAACAGGACGGTTTCTGAGAGATCAGAAGAGGGATCCTAGTAGTGGTATGCCATCGGTGAGTCGGGTGAAACCCGATAACCAAAACCACTGTACTGGAATTGACTAGATTAACCCAAATGGCACCTAACTCCAATCTAATTTAACTCAAGCAGCACCCCATGCATGCTGACCGACTTAACTAGCAACTTGTGCTCCCATTTTGTAAAAATATGCTATCTGCAGACTAACATCTCTAATTGTGCAGATTGTCAATCTTTCCTTTGTTAACAACGGTTTCCTGGTTAGCAAATATAACTCTACATTTCAGCCTTTATAATTCAAAGGATATAAGCCTGGTGACTATAGAGTCAGTTTGTGAGGTGGAGACCCCAAGGGAGATCCTGAGGGGGAGATTCTGATAGGGGGCCCCAAGGGGGGGATCCTGAAGGGGGAGATCCGGAGGGAGAATCCCTGAGGGAAAGATCCAGATGGGGAGATCTAGATGGGGAGATCCTGAGGCAGAGATCCTAAGAGATCTATCTAGGTGGGAGATATGAGGGAGACACCGTGCTGTCTCTGGTTCAGCTTGGGAGTGGCATGCCAACCTGGACAAGGCAGTCCTTATCAGATTGTACGAGGTGACCATTGGATACTTTTCCCTCCAAGTCTCCCACAGGCTGCACTCCAGACCAAACATCATAGTTTACCTACTGTTCAGTCTGATATTTCTTACCTGGAGACCAAGGGAAACTGACAGCCTGAAGCCCATGAAGGGTGGTATGAATCCCAATGTTGGCAGCACTAGCTGGAACCAGGCTTCAGAATGAGATCCACTTCTCACTGGGAAATAACAAATCATCACTGGAACATCTGGTCCTTTTGGCCAGACCAGTGCCTCCTTTGCCCGATTAAACTGCCTCCTGTTCTGGGTGGGTAGGAGTGGAAAGAATGGGGGGGAAGAAAAGAGTGAGGGGAGATAACAGAAATGAGGGGAATGGGAAGAGAAGGAGAGGGGAGGAGGAAGGAAGGGGAAAAATTCAGTCTCCAGCATTAAAGAACATCACAGAATACTTCTTATTTCAATCCTGTTGCCTTGCACCTCTGCTAACCACCTTGTCGTTCTTGTTAATCCCTTGTGGGAACTGTACTCCTGAAAATTAATCTCATTTTAACAAACACTGAGAAATGACACTCTGCAAACTGTATATTTTATAACTTTAAATACAATCATAACCTTTTTATCTCTTCCCCTTCCAGCTTTCTTATTTTATTGCCCCTGATATCAACAGCTTGCCTACAATACCAGAGAGTGTAAGTATGATGGAGAAGTGGGCTGCCTGATTGGGTCAGTGATCATCCCAATGGGAAATCTGCTTGGCAACAATTTGATGGTCATGGCCTACATTTAGCAAACCACCTGCAGGAACCCATTCAATTTATATCAGACACGGCCAGTGAGGAATAGTTATATCACTCAACTAGTAATCCAGAGCTAATGCTCTCGGAATACGGGTTCATATCCCATTATGGCTCCTAATGGAATTTAAATTTGATCAGTAATTCTGGAATTTGCTGTCATAAAAACATATCTCCTTCATTAAAGTCCTTTAGGGACTGAAGCAAAACTGCTGTCCTCTGGTTTGGACCTTATCGGGACCACATTGACACTTAACTGTCCTCTGAAATGGCCGCTCATATCAAAGGCAATTAGGGATGAGCAAGGAATGGCTTACTATGTCTTATGAAAGAATGAGAAATACACTCAAAATAGACGTGTACATAGACACGCACGCGTACAGATCTGTCCCATCCACCTTCCAAGCAAAAATCACCAAATAACAACCAGCCACAGCTCCAGTTGGCATGATCTCTGCTGATGAGGTATACTTGTGAATATCGGTGAAATCCAGCAGAAGGAAATTGAATAGATACATACAAGTCAAAGGACACTTGTTAGACATTGCTCAGGATTTTATGAGTGGTGGTGTTTACTGCCCATCACTTAAAAGGTACTGAAATTCACCCTGACTCAAGCAAGCTGCCCTGCAGGTAGTTAATGTTCCGAGGAGTCCCATCAGCCAGTCTGATTGGCATCAGCTCCCTATTCCCAACCTGAAGAGTGGTGACCCCCTGCGGGAACAGCACCCAATCCCTGAAGGATAAGCAGGACCTGGACAGCAGGGAAGTTGTTTGGAGGTGACAAGGGCCAGGATAGGTGGCTCAGCGAATTGGGATGGGATCAGAGGGCCTGGGCTTCTCAGGCCCAGAGCACAGGAGAGGACATCTGGTGGTGGTGGGGGGGGGGCTTCCATTTGGAAAGAGGAACCTGAAAACAAGTCTGGATAACAGTGTAAAAGGGGGTAATGTCACATCTATTCACAGGCCAGAATTTTACATTCCCCCCCTCCTCAACCACCATTGCAAACCCAGTCACAGGCACTGTGAAATTCTGGCCTATGAGATTAAGGTGTTGTATTTTGGTAAGGTTACTGGGAGGTTCAGAGGCCTATTTATAGTGACATTATATACCTGTCTTTCTATAAATACCTCATATCACTGCAAAACATACAGAGCAAATCTTCCACTGAGTGTTTTGCGTGAAGGAGTTCAGAGCTGACTGACTACAATATATTTATATCAGAATCAAGAATCATAATCACAATGAACGTTGATTGCTGCTTTCTCCATACAACACTATCCTGAATCCTCCCTGCACCCACAGCACCCTAACAATCAACCAGGCAGGTAAAAATATTACAGATTAATCACAGCTCTCGCTTCTGTTCAGAAATCTCCCTTCTCTAATTTCTTTACCTCTTTCAAGAGTCACAGGCAGTAGCAGTGTGTCTCACAGGGGGAGAGAACAGAGACATAAAAGGAATTCTGCCCATGAATTAGGATTTTGTGCAATGACACAAGACTGGAGAGGGTTTATTCTGTTACAGAAATGAGTGTGGGATTGTTGAGTGCTGTATTGATATTGATTCAGCTTTTCTCATAAGGTATCGCACAATTTTGCATAATACATTTCCTGTTTGTTGCCCAGTTTTGTATAAATGTTTTTTTGGCTTGCAGAGGAACCTGACAGAATACGTGGTTGCTGTGGATGTGAACAACATGCTGCATCTCTATGCCAGTATGCTACATGAGAGACGCATCATTATCACCTGCAGCAAGCTCAGCACAGTGAGTGCCAGCTTAGACTGGTGTCATTCTTCAACATCCATCCCTTCCCAATTCTCTTCCAACACTCAGCTTGAACCATCTGTCTCTATAGAGTACAGCTATGATTGTATCTACAGGGTTAACTGGGATACTCTACAAGGTTACCTGTGACAATCTGTATCTATGTGATTAGCTGAGATAGTCTATATCTACAGGGTTAGGGGACAGTCTCTATCTACAGGCTTATCTGGGATAGTCTCTATCTACGGGGTTATCTAGGATAGTCTATATCTACAGGGTAAGCTGGGACAGTCTATATCTACAGGGTTAGCTGGGATAGTGTATATCTACAGGGTAAGCTGGAACAGCATATATCTAAAGGGTTAATGGATTCTATAATTGAGATGCTCAACAGACCAATTCAGCTTGTCCTTTGATCCTTTCAGAGTTGTCTAATCTCAGCCCAGATCAGCAAAGTGGTTAGAATTGATCTTTAAGATGAAACACTCGGGAAGGATTCTTGCTCCTCAGCTCTGTCAGTGAGAGCTACTGGAAGATGCCTCTGTATGGGTGGTCCAGGACAATCCCAGTTTCATTACCTGGATTCAGTGAATGTTTGTACTGTGGGTATGGTAGAGAGGAATGCCTGGTCACGCTGGGACAAACTAAACCTGCAGGATGGAAGGGACCACCCTGACCTACAGAACAGAAGGGACCACCCTAACCTGCAGGACAGAAGGGACCACCCTAACCTACAGAACAGAAGGGACCACACTAACCTACAGAACAGAAGGGACCACCCTAACCTGCAGGACAGAAGGGACCATCCTAAACTGCAGGACAGAAGGGACCACACTAACCTGCAGGACAGATGGGACGACCCTAACCTGCAGGACAGAAGGGACCACACTAACCTGCAGGACAGAAGGGACCACCCTAACCTGCAGGACAGAAGGGACCACACTAACCTACAGGACAGAAGGGACCACCCTAACCTGCAGGACAGAGGGTGTGCATTGGGATAGGTGAAAACTTCCTTATCAATTTCCCTTCTTCTCAGTCAGAGCGCTCACAGCGTTTCCCGCCAGCACTTGGCTCTGGTGATGAGCACCATCAATATTTCTCAATCTCTGGCACCATGCTTTTTTAGATTCCCACATATTGATCTCCCTTAATCCTTGCTTAATCTTCAAGCTCCCATTATCTTCTTCCTCCAATACTGAGGAAGACATTACCCTCAATCTGCCAGACAGTGACCACAGGTTGTAGTCAGGAGCTTGAGGTCATTCTCTGTGATTTATTTATCTGAATATTGATGTTTTTTTTCTGTTCCACAGTTAACTGCTTGTGTACATGGCTCAACTGCAATGCTGTATCCCATGTACTGGCAACATATCTACATCCCTGTGCTCCCTCCACACCTCCTTGATTACTGCTGGTAAGAAATCCGTTCCTTTCCTGTGACTTGGATAGGGAGAACTGGTAAACAGTAGGCATCTCAGTAATGGCTGGAGTTGAGTGCAAATGCTGGAGGTGAAAGGTCAGCATGCCTAACCCTTTATCTTGTCTGTTATACTTGCAGTGCTCCAATGCCTTACCTCATAGGGATCCACTCAAGCTTGATGGAGGTGAGTGGGTCAGTGTGTTTCACCCATCACTATCTCACTCTTTGGTAGTGCTGACAAACACCTTTCCTCAAAGTATATTTCTTTTTTCCAGCCAAGCTTCATATTCTGACCATAGCGAAGGAACAAACTTTGACCTTTGGTAGCTCTTCACTGTCTCTGTCGTCTCCCATAGAAACACACCCTTTGTCCTGTCACTTGCTTTGCTTTCTCCCACTGTTGCAACAGGATAAAAGTCCAGATAGAATAGGTAAATGTAGAATAATGTTCAGAAGAAGAAACAGTGACAGAAGAACAAGACTGTGAGTTCAAACCACAATCCGGAAATTCAGAATGCAGTCAAGTGGCTCATGTAGATATTAAAGATCTCATGGTACTTCACAATAGAGTGACAAATTCTCCCAGTATCTGATCCAATAAATCTCCCTTTATCACCTCCACCCAAAACACAACCTGTTTTCAGAATCTTTCAGTATACAATATAGCTACCACACCTAGCTACATAATAAAAGGGGGAGGTGATGACCTAGTGTTATTATCGCTGGACTGTTAATCCAGAGACTCAGATAATGTTCTGGGGACAGGGATTCGAATCCCGCCACGGCAGATGGTGGAATTTGAATTCAATAAAATATCTGGAACTAAGAGTCTAATGATGACCATGAATCCATTGGTGATTGTCGGAAAAACCCATCTGGTTCACTAATGTCCTTTAGAGAAGGAAACTGCCAGCCTTACTTGTTCTGGCCTACATGTGACTCCAGACCCACAGCAATGTGGTTGACTCATAACCGCCCTCTGGGCAATTAGGGGTGGGCAATAAATGCTGCCTAGCCAGCGATGCCCTCATCCCATGAATGAATAAAGAAAAAAAATAAAAGTCAGTGAATTTCAAAATCCAAAGAATAGAATGAAGCACTTTTGAGGTGTTTTGAGGTGTCAAGACATATAAAATTTCCCAAATGCCATTGCTATCTGAATCGGTTTTCCAGTCATGAAGCTCATTGATATGAGGGTTGGGTAATGATCCAGTGGGTATTCTCACACGGACTGAAGGACTAGAACTGACTGTGGAGAAGCATCGTTGAATGGGTTGACCCTGAGCGATCCCTATCTTTCCCAAAGCAAATGCGAATGGGAGAAATGAAAGTGTGTTCCTTCAGGTATCCCTTTCTTTTGCAGAAGGTGAGAAGCAGAGCTCTAGAGGATGTGGTTATATTAAATGTTGACTCAAACACACTGGAGTCGCCATTCAATGATCTGGAAAAGATGCCGCCAGATGTGGTAAGTTTGAAGTGGTAAAGCAAGCCATCACATTCCGCTGAAAGCTGGAATTACTGAAGGGAGATGGCAGTATGGTAATCTTGTCATTGAATTAGTAATCCAAAGGTCATGCTAAACCCTGGGTACAGAGCGTCAATCCTCCACGCCAGCTGGTGAAATCTGAATTCAGGTAACAAACTTAGAATTGAAGGCTATGGTGATCGTAAAACCATTGTCAATTGTCATAAAATCTCATTTGGACCACTACTATCCATAGGGAACAAAGTTTGCTGACCTTACTTTATTTGTATGTTTACTTTAGACCCACAGTGATATGGTTAACTCTTAATGGTCTCTGATATGGCCTAGCAGGCCACTCAGTTATATCGAATTGCTTTGAATTCTAAAAAGAATGAAAACGAATAAACCACACGGCTTCAACCGCCCAGACAGCAGATAGAAAATGGGCAAACACTGTTTGGTCAACACTGTCAAGTCCTCTTTGCTAATATATGGGGACCAACGTTCTCTCTAAGCTGCACAGATGCTGCTTCGAAGGCCTGTGCATGCCAGTCAGCATTCCGATACCATTCCTAGTGTTGGCTTATCGTTTCAGAAATCACTGCTGTGTACCTGCAGAAGAAACAGAATTAGAGGGAATGTGGGTGGGGTCTAGTGCCGAAAGTGGGAGAGCTGTCCGACAGACCAGTCATGCAACAGCCTGACATGGTCACATACCAGAATCAGACATTACACACAATGTCTCAGACACCACCATCACCATCCCTGAGTCTTGTCTGTCCCAATGCCAGGACAGATCCAGCAGAGGTGACGGCACAGTTGTATACGGTAAGGAAGAGGTTCCTCTGGGAAGCTTCCATATTGACTTTGGGCCCCATGAAGTCTCATGGCATCAAGTCATAGAGTCATACAGCATGGAAACAGACCCTTTGGTCCAACTAGTCCATGCCGAACATAATCCTAAAGTAAACTAGTCCCTCCTGTCTGCTCCTGGACCACATCCCTCCAAACCTTTCCTGTTCATGTACTTATCCAAATGTCTTTTAAACATTGTACCCACATCCACCACTTCCTCAGGAAGTTCATTCCACCCATGTAACAATGTGTCAATTGTCATAAAAACCCATCTGGATCACTAATGGCCTTCCGGGAAGGAAGTCTGCTGTCCTTACCTAGTCTAGTTTACGTGTGACTCCAGACTTACAACAATAAGACTAATTCTGAACAGTCCTGTGGACAATTAAGGATGGAGAATAAATGCTGGCCTAGCCAGAGATGCCCAGGATCAAATATATCTTTAAAAGGGCTGGTTAAAGGCTAGGATTTACAGTGGAGGGTAATTCAACTCCAAGAGATAATTGGGGTGAAATGACTTCAAAAGGCAGGGAATAATTGGGAGGGGGTGGGAGTATAAATGTGAAGTATTGATGGCTGCCCCTTGATGTCCTTTCACCATCTGTTTGTTTGGTTTATTTCAGGTATCCATTCTGAAAGTGAAGTTGAAGAAGCAATCTGCAGTCACTGGGGACGTGGTGGCACGGGCCTTTCTCAGGGCACAGGCAGCAATCTTTGGAAGCTACCAGGATGCTCTTAAATTTAACTCCGTGAGTGCCCACAGTCATTCAGACTCAACTCCCTCTCCTCTTGCACTTGGAGACTCAATGTTTAATATGGAGGGATCTCTCCCAAACTCACTAATTGTTTGAAACAGCAATTTTTTTCCCTAACTTCTGAGAACCCTGAAAACATCAGGAAAGGGGCACATAAAGCTTACTGTGAGAGAGCAAATAAAGAGGGAAAGAAGTTAATTTGAATGTACAGTTGTCATTTGATTGTACAGAACTTGTACAGTATTGCTCAGAAAAGACACATGTTGGCAAAGCCTTCCATCTTGAATTGATTAGAGCAACTCACAGAATATAACATAGAGGAAAATTTATACTGCATTTATGGTGCAGGAGAGGAGAATGCTAATTGCATGGCAAGTGGATTGTGATTGACAGTTAACAGCCAGGTGCTGTTTAATTGTAAACTTGCATTTAGGTTACAACAAGAACATTCAGAGGCTGTTGGCCGGAGGCACATTGTTAAAATAGAGAGAAACAAGAAAGGATGTGATAAGGTTCAACTGTAAATTCTTTCCTACATGTTAGTATTGAGTGTGAGACCACTCTCCCAAGAGATTGGGTGAAATGATGAAAATTGCAGAAATTAATTATTCACCCATTAATTTTTACCCAGTGTTAATGTAGTTCCCTCGAGGGCTTAATGTTTAGATTATCACATGGCATGACACGGTGGCTTCCAAACTGCCAGAGCCCAGAAATCTGATCTCAAGTGCGACAATTGTTACTGTTTTCTACAATAGAAAGAGTCCTGCTCCTGATCATTACTTGCCTGTTGGCCATTGTATAAGAGATGGGTGGAGGATAATGAAGATTCTAGAAACCTTATTGATAGCCGCAGGCAGATACAGAATGGGCAGTGGAAACAGATTCAATACTAACTTTTAATGTGAGTTGGATAAATACTTAAAGAAGAAGCATCTGCTGGGCTTTGGGGAAAGAACAGGGGAGTGAGACTAATCAGATAGCTCTTTGACGATGGGCCGAATGGCATCCTTTAATGCTGATTGTTTTAATGACTGGCAACAGCTTAAGGAACTTAAGGGGAAAAATGGGGAAGAGAAGCTGTTAATGGAGTCTGTTTCCCTGTATGCTTAGGACGAACCAGTCACATTTTGTGAGGAGACGTTTTTGAATCACAAACCTGCCTTGAAGGATTTCCTGCAACATGCGGTACATCTTCAGCTGTTCAAACAGGTGAGACTTGGTAAGACAGGAATAGAGCCTGTGTACCAGGAATGAACCCAGCATTTGGCAAGGTTCACTACTAAGCATTAAGACTCCTCAAGCTGATGAATAATCTCTTAATGCAAGGACAGAAAGTCCCAACTTCCTCTTCCATTCAGCATTGCAAATGGAAAACATCTCGGAATTTTACGGTGAAGAAAGTACACATTGAGCCCATCAAAGGCATTTCACATCTGTGCCACAGCAATCCTGAATTCATCCAACTGCTCAACCCTCTCTCCAAAGCCCTGTGTCAATCCTAAACTCATTCCACTACTCAATCCTCTCCCCATAGCCCTGTGTCAATCCTAAACTCATCCCAC